CCCAGCTGGAAAGGGCCTGGCCAGAAAGGCTGCCTGTGGGCTGTGGCATGTAGGGGCCAGTGGGAGGACCCGGCCAGAAAAGCTGCCCATGGCCGGTGGTGTGGGAGCCGAGATGCCAGGTGGGGGGTGTGCCGGGAAGCTACACATTTGTGAATGGCAGCGTTGACCCTTCTTCACTGTGGTTGTGACTGGCAGGAGATACGCAGCAGCTACAGGGACCTGGCCCAGCTGCAGATTGGGTTTATTTCTATCTTGCTTTTAATTCACCTGCCCCCAGAGTTCTAGGCAATGCCTTACCCAGAATTTGGGTTTTAACATCCATAGATTTCTAGTTTTTCTCCTTGCGGTAGTTTTAGAGGAAAAGTGATATTGGGAGCAGACATAGGAGGCAAAACCAGTGGATGGCCAAGGAGCCAGAGCTGTAGCCATGAATGCTTTCAGGGAAGGAAAAGAAAAGCAGTCAGGCCTCAGAGCCGTGGCTCTGTGTTGTGTGAGAAGGAAGCCGGAGAAGCTGCTGGAACAAAGAGTGAGGCCAGATGCACTTGGCTGAGGAGCCACTCTGCCTTCTGTACATTCTGCCTGGAGACCAGCAGATTTCTGAGTCTCTGGGATGGTGGAAGGAGAGGTCCTGCAACTTTCCTGTAGGCATTGGAGCCTCGGTAGACATTCACAGGGCAACGTTTGCTGCTGTGATCTAAGGCTTGTTTAGTGTATGTACATTCATACACATGTACGGATGGCTTACCGCCCTTATTTTATCAGATCTAAAGATATAAAGGCTCTCAGATCATGGTTCTACAATCTTTCTTCCCATAAGACTTTGAACTGCGAATTCTGGATTCTTCTCCTAAGGGAGTATACATGAACCTCACCCAGAGGACGGAAGGGATGCTGTGTATTGATTTGCATTTGATGTTATTTAGTAACACAGATATTTAGGCAATGAAAAATGATTCCAGGCAACTATAACTAGATTTTGATTTAGCTTCTATTGAAAGGTGCATTGATTTTGGTTCATCTTTTTTTTAGGCCTGATGCCTGGAGGGAGGGTCAAGCTGGTACATAGTGCTGTGATCCAGTTGGGTGACAGGTAAGATGTGAGGGAAAACACTTCACTATTTCACAAAGACCTAGAAGGAAAATAACACTGGGGAATTGCATATATGGTAAATGGCGAGCTTTTGCAATGAAGACGTCCATTTTCTCACATTGTTTTTTTTACTGTTTTATTAGTCTATTATTTTTTCTATTTTTTTGAGATGGAGTTTCGCTCTTGTTGCCCTGGCTGGAGTGCAGTGGCGCAATCTCGGCTCACTGCA